ACTTTTATAGGAAGTACCACTCCTTGCTGTTTCTTCCCATAAAAAGGCAATCAATTATTTCCAGACCACTTCCAAACAATACGCAGCTGTATTTTGTCATTTGCTACCTTTTCTAGTTCTTGTAGCCTAAACATTTTCAACTCATGTCTACTTGAGGATTTAATACATATGGTTATCAGTAAAGTTTTTCTCTAACATAAAACATAACAAAGCACTTCCATTTTTCAGTACATTCATCAGATAAGTGGTTAGGCTTAATACCTTTATACATTTGCTTTTTAAAATAACTATTCTGAATGCAGAAGTCAAAGAATAAAGTCTCAATTTGCAATTCACACATAATAGGATTCCACCTATGCCTGAATACCTAAGATCTAAATTTCATCAAGAAGCAATATCCAATAATCACATAGTGCTTTGCAGTTAACAAGTATTTATACATAACATCTTTTAACTTAAACAGTTACAAAACTTTGTCCAGTGGGTATTGTCACGTGGGTGAGAGAGCAACTTGGCTGAGATACTGGGTATAATTATCTCTATTTAACAGAGAAGTAACCTGAAGCCCAGTAGGGTTAAGTGAGTACCTCAAGATGGGAAATTCATGATGAGTTACTGCCAAGCCTCAAGTGGTCATTGTATAATTCTCTATATGAAAAAGACCCTCATACAAATATGTAATGAACATGTGTCAAAGACTCACTTAAATCATTCATGAGAAGAGCAGAATGACAAAGCTGGTTCAAAGAAGGACATGAGAAACTGACAAATACATACATACATATGTACAAACACACATACACACACACCCTGTGGGGAAAAAAGAATGCTGTAATAAGACTGCAGAGATAAATATAAAACTGGATAATGCCCTACAGGGCAAGAAAACCGTTAAGTCCTGGAGTTACTTTTTCTACCAAACAAATCTTTTGCAACATCAAACTTTTTAAAGCTAATATCTAACTTTAGAGGGTTTGGGTGCTAATCAATAGTATATAGTAAGTCAAAGTTACCTTCTTCTAGAACAGGGCTCAGCAAATTTTTTCTATATAGGGCCAAATAGCAAATATTTTAGGCTTTATAGGCCATATGCTCTGTTACAACTATTCAACTTTGCTGTTGTAGTAAAAATAGCAGCTATCAGTGATAAATAATGAATGAGCATGGCTGTTCCCATAAAACTTTATTTACCATAGAAAAAAGAAAAACAACAACAACAACAACAACAACAAAAAACAGGTGGTGGGCTGGATTTGACCCACAGGAAAGAGTTTGCTAACTCCTCTGTCCTAGATCATCAGATGATCCTTAGGGGACCCAGTTAGACAACCTTCTAGGTACAACTTTGAAGAGACATGTAATAATCTTTTTGCTTTGTTTCCAAGTTTTAGATAATTTTTTAAACAGTACTCAGGTCTTCAAATGGTAAACCCCATGCTGTCCCCACACTGTATGAGAGAGCTTAGCTGCTGTTTCTCAGGCTCAGTCTTTGGAGTTCAGATAAGACACAAAAAAGGCTCTATTAAAGAAAGAAGGTTAAG